AAAATTTTCTTTCCATTTACTAGCTCTTTAGGTTTTCAATTGAAACATGCATTTTTCAGGGTTCAATCTATGCTGGCGCGTTGTCTTGATAAGCTGCTTTCATCAGATGCTATTGTAAGAAAGGCTGTCTGAGTCCACATTTGTTTACATTTATTAAAAATAGTTGTCATGTGTTTATGTAGCTCCTTTGATCCAGAAAAATCCCCAAACACTTTGTAAGTTATGCTTAAAAGGGTCACTTCCTCCCTCCACCCCGAACAGAAACTGTGCTGGGACTGAGACATGGCAGCAGATTAAAAATGCATGGAAGTACCACCATAATTCAATTGGTCCTCAGCCCCTCAGGGTACTGTAAATTTTCCACCAGCTTCAGAACAGTTACTGGAGACCATACAGGCAGTTTGGACTTTGGGAGCCAAAAGCAGTGACCATCTTCCTAGTGACTGCATGTTTTTCATGCACTTTCTTGTGCTTTGAGAGTAAAGAAGCAGTAGTACCTACTGCACAAAGCACAGGACTGGCAATATCTCAGCTAGACCTACTGTTTCCAGTTTTGAGCATCCCACTCCAGAGAAGACATAGATCAACTAGGCAGAGCCAGGGGAGAGCAGAAGAAAGGATGGAGGGAGAGCACCTCAGGACTTGTGGAGAAAGACAGAAGGAGTTATTTGTTTAAAAGACAGAAGGCTGAGGTGAAAGATGGTTAAGTCTTCAAAACATGTGAAAGGCTGTGGAGAAGAGGAAAGTAATAAACTTGTCCATAGGGACAGGAGAAGTCACGAACTTGCCCTGTAGCAAGGAAGATTTGGTGAAACGTTAGGCAGTAATTCTGGACGTCAGGAATGGTGAAGTGCTGGAAGAGATGTCTGCAGAGACTCTGGAATTGCTATCATGGTAGGTTTTTTTTGAGACTGGATTAGACATAAATGTCAGGAGGGGTTTAGATCTTGTTCCTGTTTTTGGGACAGATGGACCAGGAAGTCCCTCCTGGTCCTATCTTCTGTCGTTCTGCTGTGGTGTTGCATGTGGTCAGATGAGCCCTTCTTATATGGATAAACCAAGTCACAGTGAAAATTAGTTTGTGAGCTCCTTGCAACGTCCTCGCAAGCTAAACCAGAACAGAAATTCCCCCAAAGGATTACATGTGTATTTGTTTTATTTTTCAGTTTTAAAATGCTCCCAAATCATCAAGGTGCTTCAGCATGCCCCCAGCGTAGAGGACTTGAATCATGTAATTGGATTCAGTAGGGTCTATTCACAAAGCCTGTGCCTGGGGCCTCATTTTTTGGGAAAGTTTTACACATTCTAATGATGGTAAGACAATGTATGACTAATGCACTGATTTGAAAAACTGCCCTGTTATCTGATCAAAAGTACAAGCTCATGAATACGATACCGCAGGTCATTTGGCTAAAAGATACCCGGAGTCTTCCAAATTTTTAAAACAATCCCATACACAGAAGCAAAAAATAGAGGTATGAACAGTGGAGACAGTGATTGCCTGTTCGCTGCAGCTCATGTGGAATGTTTTATGAAAGATATTTTTATCAGACACAAAAGACTGAAATACAGAATATCCTGGGCTGGCAAGAGAAGGTGTGATAATAATTTAGATGATTATCCCTCAGATCTGTGATTCATTTTTATTATTCTCTGCTGTATTCATTTCAGGAATAATCAAAACCTCCCTGAGGACAATGGAAGGTTTCCAGTTGAGTTCAGGGGACTCTGCTGCTGCTTTCATTCTTAGGGAAGGGCTGAGGGTCAGCGAGATCTTGTGTGCACGTGCAAATGTGCTCAGGGGGAGTTTGGAGAAGTCATCTCCTGACATCAGGGCCACCTCTAAGATTAGATTATTATCTAACCTGGCTGTCTAGGGCCCTCTGTGACTCCTAGGAAGAGTAAGTGCCACCTAGAGACCTGCACTGGAATGAGGTGGACCACCTTCTGGAGAGGCTTCTCTCCCCGTCCACTATAGAAACAACCTAGTTAGTTACAAATTTGGACCAGAGGTTTCACAAGGAGTTTTGTAGCATTTGGTAAAAGGAATCATTCTCTTTAAATATCTCTAAACCACCTTGGCAGTCTGCTAGAAGTAGAGTTGCATTTAAGAAAATGTCTTATATGGATAAACTGTGATTCGTTTGCTATTAGCATGCTTTGTACATGTTAATGGAAACACACTGTTCTTGTAAAGCCCTTAAGGATTTTTTTAAAACAAACGACCTCATCTAACAGTATTTATCTTAACAAGGACGCTTTTATAGAAATCTAACGTCTTGAGAACAGAAAATGACCTTGCGGACTGAGGAGAAGAGTGGTCAGAAATTCTGAGGTCTTTTGACAGGAAACTCTGGGGTTTTAAGTAAACTGTAGAGGGGTTTTCCCCAAAAAACACCCGTTTTCAAGGGACAGAAAAAAAATCAACAAAAAAACAACAAAACACTTCTGGCAGTTGACTAGAAAGCAGAAACATCATACAGAAGCATAAAATGGTGATTTAAGGCTGCTTTAGGAATCTCTTAGATGTAGTTGGCTGATGAATGGGCTCGTGATTATTCAACAGGGTTCCTGGCCAGCCAATGTCCTCCATCGAACATCTCCCACAAGACATTCCTGAGGTGCAGAAAGACAGTTTGTGTAAGGGACATTTTAATCTTACTGAAGGATCAAGGTCATAGAATGCGTCAGGAGCAGGATACACCCAAACTGCAAGTCTGAGTGGTATTTTGGCAATGTTTTTTAAATTGGAATTGAAAACCAGACCCTCCTTACAGTTTAAAATTTAATTTAGGGCTAAATTGTATTGTTCTGTAAAGTGACAAACTAACCAAAAGATGAGTACAAGCACCTACCCATACTTACCTTAGGGAAAACTGGTACAGGAGAAAAACCCCAGAATTGTGATCCTGCTGGCAATGTTGCCAGATCTGCACACCACAGCATCACTCAACAGGATAAATGAGATCTGGATCAGAAGCTGGAGCATGACTGCATTTCTGCTGAATTACTCAGAGCGTGTAGTACCTGGTTTTATCAGAAGTATCCTTCAATGATGCTTTCTATGCACTGTGGGAAGGCCATTCATTCTTGGTGTTACATATATTACAGGAGCTTGGATAGACAGTGCCTAATCTGGTATCGTTCTTGCCAGCACTAAATTAACCAACCGCTCAAAAAAGCTGGGCGAATTTGAAACAGCAGCATTAGCTTATCCCAGATCAACTCTTTGTAGTGAGCGAGTGCGGCGGTTTTGATGCTCTAAAGCAATGTGTCTTGTACCGTCAGTTCAAGATGTAAACCAACCACTCACCATTTAGCTAAGAGCTTTCTCCAGCAAGGCTTCATTTCAGAATTTTCTATTTACAGCAGTTTGTTTGTCTGGAATGAGCACCACTTCTCACTGTCAAAGACCTAATACTGGTTAGATGGATTATCTGCTCCCATGAAGTAATTCACATGTCTTTAATTCTAGACTGCCTTTTCTTTTTACTCTCATTTGTTGCACGTTAGTTAAGATCATTTCTAGCTGCAGAACAACTATCCTACCCCAGAAGATGCTGTGACAGTATGAAGGACGAGGGAAGAAATAAAATTAATTATTCCAAAACTTGAGGTGAAGGGTGATGTGCAGTGGTTATCTGTTGGATCTGATGTTGACCCCTGTTTGTGTGAACCAGCTGGGTTGGACTCTGGTCTTCTTACAGTTTGTGATTGACCCAACGCATTTGAAGAATCTGAGCTAAAAGCTATCTTGTTATTGCTTGGGCAGAAAAAGACAAAAGTGCTACTAAAAGCCTACTGAATTCTATTTCTGTGCATGAATCTGGAGCAAGGTATTGTTCTTTTTATCTGATATCATGCAAGACACAGCCTTTTTCTTCCAGGGTTGGTATCTCAGATACTATAGCTAAATATTTATAGGACTGCATAGCTTTTTACCCCATAAAAAAATTATTTGGTGGTCATTTTCGGTGTCTCCAAATCCCCTTTATGGAAGATGTAAAAAGGAACACAGGGAGTCTGCAGGTATTAGTGTCACATCTTGTTTTCAGGGGAGCTTGTCTTATTTCTCCTTGCTCCGCAGCAGAATGCCTGGTTTTTAAGTCCAGATTCCACCTTGTGCTGGTCTGCATGCTGACTTGTGCTACTTTGTGACAACTGGTGGATTATGGATCATCCAATAACGGATGCAGTGGAAGCATTTTATGAAATGGAGATTACAACTTGAAACTTCCAAATCAATGGTAAAAGGACCTTTTTGACCTTAAGTGTCATGGGAGTCATGATGAATTCCAACCTGCCCATTCAAATCAAAGTCCTAACTCAAGCTACAATCAATAAGCAATCACACCATTATTGAGGCAAATCCTCAGACAAGGAAACTTCACACTGAGTCTGGTTTTGGCATTGTGATTTGATCCAAAATGTCTTAAAGCCAGGAAAAGAAATTAAGCTGCTTGGTCTCCTGTGCTGAAGGTTATCAGATGTGCAAGGGGATCCTGGGAAATTCTTTATGGCTTATGAAACAGGGGAAGGACATGTTTTGTGACCCCACCTGGACTTAGTATCCAGTCCATGGTGAGTAAGACATGTCTCTGAGACATGACGAATTTTGAAACCCTTAGTGGCAAGAAGGTGCGTAAGAATATAAGAACAGTGTCACCCTGGGCCAGCACAAAGATGCATCTGTCGCAGTCTGTCATGCTGGCCAACAGTGTACACTTTAAAAATGGGTGCAATGAACTAGATGTATCAAGAGTGATCCTTCCTTTGGCTATATTCTACCAGCAGCTGGAAGCTGAGGGGCGTCCTGAATGAGCTGTTTCCAGACCATCACACCTACCAGCTGCTGTGGATCTCCCTGCACGTCTAACGTGTGCAAATAATAATAGCGATTGTGATTGTCATCGCTGTCGTTACTGCCACGTAGGATGATGACTCGCAAAACGGAGATAAAGCTTCTCCTGTTAATTTCCTTCTCTTGTGTTTTCTTTTAGTACCACCACGTTGCCTTCCTATATCAGGATAACCAATGGCTACATCACAGTCAAACCTCCCATTTGGATTTCAAACCGGCTGGATCAGAGACCGCGTTCGGATCGCCCATCCCAGCCTCAGCCTACAAGCTCAGCTTCAGCCAGCCTTTTATGGCCATCAATAACTTGTCCTCTCTGCATGGCCATAACTTCTTTTCTCCTGAATCTACTGCAGCCTTCCTGACCATATTAGTATCACGTGCAATCCCTTGGAATAGAGAAGAGAGATAATTTATGAACGAATTGGAGGTTATGACAACAACAATTACAAACTGGACCTTCTCAGTGAATCAGTAGTGCCTTCTAGCTGATTTTATCTCTTTGCCCAGATACATTTTGAAACTCTAAAGCTTTATTGTAACACTGACTTACATCTTCTTTTTGTAGAAGGATCTTTATTTCCCATAGTGCTATGGGGTTTTGTAAAATATACATGTTCATATAAAGAAAAAAAAGAAAAAGAAAAAATGTATTTATTCGACTGGTAAACTTATTTTTTCTTGTTGTGTATGTTAATAACATCCCTATTAATCAGTAGCGATGGTGAAACAGATAAATTAATGTTTTCTATATTTGTTTTCTAACTGACAACTCTGACACCAAATGAATGGCTTCTTTGTTTCTTTAACCCTTACTTTTTACAGAAACTGTCCAATAAGTACATTGTCTGCTGAACTTCTTTATTCTAGTTTTTTTTAATTTCGTTAGCATAGTTTACACTGAATAAAGCCGATCCTGATCTCTGTGGCCTGTGCCCATTAGAAAAATAGGTGCATTCTTAACTCAAGTCAGCTGCTACAACCTAAAATCCCACTTATTTTTATATGACTTAGTAAGTCATTAGTCGAGATAACCCTCTAAGTTCTCGTGTTGTCTTTAACTCAACTATTTAACTTCTTTGGAAATTACCAATTTCTCTCTTTGCCTTGGGATTAATTCATTAGCTAAGACAAATTAAGACACTGTTTTCTTAATAAAGTCTAGATTAATCCCACTGGAATTATTTTCTCCTCTCCCTCATCTTTTAGAAACACAAGCCTACAACCTTTCCCAGCATAAGGGAAAACAGAACTTGGTCTGTCTACAGGGTATGAAGATGTAGTATCCTGCTAATGCAGAATTTATTTGTACCAGTTGTGTTAATGCAGATGGACAACCTGGAGGGGAAAAAACATCTACAAATTTCCCTTCATCTTGCTATTATGATGCTTAGAGCTGGTATCTCCATGCTGAATTATGACTTGTCCAAAATATGTTCAAGACCACAAGAACCAAATTAACCCCTGTGTCATGCAGATGTACAGAACATCCCTCTGTTTGTAGACTACGGTATCTCTGTTGATTTAGGTGGAAAAGTTATGGCACCTTACACTCACTGAAAACTTTGCTCCCTCTCCAAGCAGCTACTTTTCATGAATGCAAAGAACAACATCTATGGGGGGAAAAAAGTCCATCTTAAATACTATAATGTTTAATAAGGCAGATTGATTTTTTTCCCCAACAAAACATGATGAAAAATCCCTCAGCATACAATAGTTTCAACCTGAAAATTAATTTTATTTAAAATATTGTTTTTCTTTCTAAATCATCTACAAACCGAAAATCCAAAATATGTGACAAAAGCATCTTAGTTAAAAAAGAAGACTCAAACCAGAAAAATACAATGCAAACTTTTCTTTATGAAAAAGCAGTGATTTTCCACCTTGAGAAAAATACCAGGTTCTCATGCTGATGATAATAATACTATTGATAAAATTCTGACTGAAAACAGTCATACCACTTTCCTACCAGCCCTCCAGCATGGTCTCCAGGACTGGAGAGATGATTCCATGCAATCTTAAAGTCTCTGCAGTGAGACGTGTTAGGATTCACTGTTTGTTTGTCATTGTACCAGTTAATTCAGGAAAGTAGATTAGGAAATAATTAGACTACAAAAGGCACATCGTTTTATTTGAAATTATGATGAAATACCGAGCTTTTCCATCATGCATCCCAATCCATTTCCTTGAAAAGGCCAAGGAGATTACAGGTAATTTCTTTTTGACTTACTGCACACCACGACCTCCAGCCTTTTCTCTATTTTTGACAGAAAGTTGTGTCGATTTGTGGTCAGTTTAAGTGGGTACTGCAGACAGTGCTATAAGCTACTCCTATTTTTTCCAAGCATGACAGTTGATAAGGCTGAATGGAAAACTTTGAGCTTTGCCCCAAATGTGAGCTTCAAGCACGCCCTGTGCATACTTTTATATTGTGTATTTTGGCTAGCAGAAGATGAGAGATGTTAGTTTTGGACAGAAGCCATTCACCTTGAATAATATTTATTGCACTGAGCTGGATATTGGAAACGTATTTTGAAAACTTTCATTTTAGTTTTATTTGAGCTATTACGCTAGAAATGCCTTCATTTGAATATAATGGCGTAACAGACCTTCAGACTCAACCTTAATGCATTTAAAAAGATGATTGGTTCTCCTGCTGTGTTCAAGACAGAGATCAGAACTGAATTACAATGTTTTATTCACAAAAATGGAACTGGAAATAAGGTAGGCAAATCTTAAAGGTGATGATAAGTTACATAGTAATAGTGAACAGCCAATGAACCAAAACCCATTGAATTTTATTTGTTGTAACTTGATCGAATCCAGAAATGATTCTGTCGTACCATCCCAGAAATAATTCCAGGTGCTGGAAAACTTACAGAATAAATAGGCAAGACCACATAAAGATAAGGGAGAGGGAAAAGAGCAGAAAACAGAAACAACTTGTGCAAGACCATAAGGAGAACCACCAATAGGACCAAGACTAGAGATTGCAGTTCTGCAGTTCTACAGTTTCCCAACCTGTGGCTTTCTCCATAAGCCTCTGGGGCTTCTTTGAATATTAGGAGCACACAGATTTCCCCACACTCACAGCTGTCATTATATCACACAGAATAGTCACTCCATTTGTCACTGACGAGTTTGGTTTATTCTGAGTCACTCCTCCACTGGACAGTACTGTTCAATATTCAGTAGCTCAGATATCATGGTGTGTTTGGGTATCGCAGTATGTAAATAGCTTGGCTATCCAAGTATGTTTTGACGTATTTGGATTTCCTGGCGTTTTATCCATAATTCCCATGAAATGAATGTTACTGGAGCTCATCAAATTTCCCTTGCACTGGTGCCCTGCACTTGTCATAGCACAGTGCAGGTGTCAAAGCAGTGTCTCTCCTGGCTTTGGTGTCCACACACTTGACTTCCCCCACCTGAAAGCATCTAGCTCACTTAGGCATCTGAGCTTCCTCTGGTTGGGGGAGAAGACACGACTTAGAATAAATAGGCATGACTTAGTCTAAGTAGCTTCCCGTAGATCCTAGCTCAGGAACCCCACATGAATGACTTCAACATAGTTCTCTAACCAAACATTTCTTTCATTCTGTTGTCTTACCCGAAGGTGTGACTTAAGGGAACTTTTTTCAATGCATGGCATGTAAGCATAGCAATAGCAGAAAATGAGACCCTCACTGTGATTGATAAAATGGATTATTTATTAATCAGCAGCCCAGTATTAATTAAAATACACTAATATTGGTTAGCACAGATCTATGCACACCCATTGCAGTGGATCATGATAATGTTCACAGAGTTTAAAAAGTGTGCATCAGATTTGGTACATGCTGGTGAAGTGACACTGACTGCCAGCTTCATGGGACTTCTTCAGTTTTCTCTGGGGGTTTCTCAGAAAACCAGGAACCGACTGTTTTCTTTCTTTTGAAGGAAAGCTCGGATTCCCATGTAATCACAAGATTCCATGGGAGCAGGAGATTTAACAAAAATATTCACCCCCACTATGTGTAATAGCAAACACTGGTGATAATATTTACCTCTGAGAAACACCATCAGGAGAGTCGCACAATGTCCAGTAATCAAGGACGTGATTTTGGATGAGTCCAAAGGTGAATGTTCATATAATTCATCTTTTCAACACAGCTACAGCTGACACCAATATGATTCACATTATATGTAACTGTAATATTATAAATGAACGCTAATTATCTGCCAAGCTCTTGCCCTGGTGGAATAAACACCAAATACCACCAGCAACTGATCTGACATCCACTCTTTCATTGTTATAGTGCTTTTCTTGTCTATGTTTCACTACGGATGCTATACTAACATGCATTGCCACTTGAAGAACCAGTTAGTAGGCTGGGACAGAAGGTATTTTATATTTTATGACCGACGTACTCTCTCTGCAATCCCTCGGGCTGTTGAATAATACAATACCTCTCTGGCAATAAATGATGGACATGATTTATGATAACTATGCTTTATACAGGTGTCAAAATCTGCTTTGTTGAACTTCCCTTCTCATTCCTCCAAGCTCCACTGTAATTTAGGAACACCCAAGGTACAGAGTTGTGTATTTATCTAAGTTCTTCAATATGCAATTGTGGAGAGGGAGAGAGATGGAAAGAGGGAGAACTTAATCTATATTTAGTGCATTGATTAGTCGAATGATATGACCCAGTCAGTACTATATACACCACTGTTAGGGAAGAATTTCCCATCATATATTTATGTTAGAGAAACCAAAGTGCCAAAGTTATTATCTCAGCATAAATGTTATCATTCCAAACTATGCTTAGTACCATATTTCTATATTATATCCAAAAAGCATATGGGCTTGTCATATCTCTGAAGTGATCAATGTTCCATGACGTGTGCTGCAGTTCAGCTTCAATTTAAGCTTGTTTCAGCTTAACTGAAGCAGAAAGGTAATTGCTTGATTTTGAGATCGTAGGGTGTACGTCTGTGTGTGTGTGTGTGTGTGTGTGGCTGTCTGTCTGTGTGTGTGTGCACATGCACACATGTGTGCACGTTGTGGGCGTGTGTTTTATCCCAACCCAAATGCAACCTTTCCTGTGACTAGCATTTCAGGAGGCACTTTAATCTAGCTAAAGGCAGAGAGGTCTTTCCATTAAGTAGGCAATACTTTTCTTCTGCAGGAGCGATTAACCATCCTGCAGATTCCTGCTTACACTGAATTTTAAATTGCATGTTTGTCAGTTTTCAATTCAAATGTATTTCAAATATTTTTTCCTGTTCCGCCTCCTGCTTTTGTGAACTGTTTTGAAGAGTGTAATAAAAAGATGCTTTCTAATATTATTTTGTCAAAATATTTTTGTAGCATAATATATTAATAAAATGTTATTATAAATCTGTAGCACAAGAATCTTGTATGCCTAAGTTCTTTCCTTTGCACTAAAAGCTAAGGACTCACTGAAAAAAGGGAACATTCCATTTGCAGCGCTTATGCATGCTGCTTCTCTTTTGCTCAGGACGAACATTGGATGGAGGAAATCATACTCTGGGGAAGGTTCCTCAAACAATGATGTGGTTTTGTCACGTCCATTCCTGTGAAGATGTGGAGAATCTCCCTGAGTACCTTTTCATTGGTGACAAGTTGCTGCCCCTGGTGTGTAATGAGTCTGGAGCAGCCTCAGCCTCCAATCCGTGTCACCTGAGGGAAACCACTTAGTTAACCTCATGGCATGTTCTGAGTGGGGTTTGGGGAGAAGGAAAGGCTTCCAATGCCAGATACAGGCCCTGGGAGCTGGGCTTGCCTCTACTGTTTCAAAGGCTCAGTGGAAAAGCGAAAAAAAAGTACCCACCAAAGGCCTTTTTGGGGATGTGCAAGGCTGGGGGAATGACGCAGGGGTAGGGATCTTACAGGACGTAAGATCCTGGTACATGGATGAAACAGAGGCTGAGGGAGAATTTTGGGGTGTATCATCCTTACATCTGCTCATCTGCAGGCTGCCCAGGGTAGTGTGTGGTGAACTCCACAGCCCTCGGGCCAGACACGGTAGCATGTGGGACCTCAATTGGGAGATGGATCAGGACAAGCGCATGGATGGCCAGAAAGTGCTCCACAGGGCTAAGGACAGTGACATTGCTGACCTGGCAAGGTGTAACACCAGCAGCCCACGCTG